TCTATAGGCAATCCACTCATAAATGGCAAGTGCAATCAGGTCTTCAATCTATTGAATAAAGGGGGCCATATGTTTATCTTTCCAGTGTTGCAATATCAGTCTTTTGGCCATAGTAAGGGCATGGAGAATCCATTTACATTGTCCATATGTCAAATTCCATGTATTAGGTATATAGTTCAAAAGAATATTGCTGGGTGGGCAGATTCTACCTAGAACGAGTAGTCCCAAAGGGAACAAAGGCCAAGCCATACAGGGCTTCATAGATAATCATCAATACCTGGAATTGGCACAGAAGCATATTGGCCCAAGCTTCCCACAAGACAGGTGTTTTTCTATTGAACCAGTTATTGCTGGTCAGCAGGCAGACAACTGTGTTCTGTGCCAGCTGCAGCTTCCAGGTCATTTTCAAGATTAAAGCAAATTGCAGTGGTCTGAGAGTTGAAAAGGGCTTGAGTTTTTGTCTTCTGTGCCTACAGGTCCCGGAAGCTAGCTGAAGTCTAGCTGTTGTTCTCAGACTGCATGCCTACTCTTTCTGGGGAATGCAATCCCAACAAGAATAGAACATTTAAGTCTTCTACACTAACAACAACTCCGTCTTGCTGGGGATCAGTCTGAGTCTATTCTATGCCATCCATTCCCTCAGAGAGACTCAGCACCAGGTCAAGATTCTGACCATGTCTCCTGCTTGGCCTAGAGTAGAGATGTAAAGCTGAGTATAATTTGTATATTGATGACATCTAACCTAAAACATATAGATGGCTTCATGTAGATGTGAAAAAGTGTAGTGGAGAGGGCCAAGTCTTGGAACACTTCATGCTGAATTCTCTGAAGGCTCCATTTTTCCTCCCCTATTAACTCCAATAGGAACCAAATCATTGCTGCTGATCCCCAATTCTTGTGGTCACTCTAAAAGGATATCATTGTCAGTGCTGCTGAATGCTGTTTACAGGATCAGGAGATGTACATCACCCTCATCTGAGTCCTATTGCAGGTCATCCACAGAAGTCGCCAAGGTGGTTTCTGCCCCATTCCTGGCCCTGTATCCCAACAGAAAGGTATCAAGATAATCTATAGGGCTCTCTGAACCTATGGTATAACCACCTTCTCTGCAAACGTATCTAAAAAAAAGCAGGTTGGAGACTGGTCAATAAATGTCTAGGAAAACTTGGTCAAGTAATGTTGTTTTGAAAAGGAGGAATGCTGCTTCCTCCCTCAAGTCCAGCAGTATGACTGTCACTTCCTCTCTGGGAGTCAGGAAGACTACAGATTTAATTTGCAGGTGGTTGAATTAATTCCACAAGGGATCGTGCTCACTTCCTCGGGTATCACAGGCTTATAAGAGTCCCAAATGATCTCATAAGTTGTTACCTTGCCATCTCATGAGACCCCACCCATACGATGTCTACCTCAAAATGATTGTGAGTGATTGTATCTGTAAACTGCTCACAGTGAACAGCAGGAAGACCTTCTGGACCACAGTTCCCAAGAGGAACTGAGTCAGCCTAATAACAGTGCTGGTTGGCATCCCAAAGACTCAATAAGTGTGGAGAAGTATTGGTGCTTCTCTGCTTGTACTGCCACAGCACATGTTCAAATTTCAGTCCATGCACATATTTGATCATCCTCACGCCTCATCTTCCACCACTCCAAGCATTTCCTCATCCACCTGATTGCTTGGAGTTCTTCAGTAAACCAAGAAACATCCCTGGATCAGCTCAGCAGGAGTGGCTGAGGGGGTAACACTCTCAAGCACTTTTGTGGTCTCTGTATCCACAGCAATTCATGGGAAAATTGACAGCTCCCATGTTACATTCACACAAATAGTGCAGTGTAAAGGCCTTTCTCTATGCTAGCCACTAAATCTTGACTCAGCACAAAACATAAAGTTTGCTGGCCCTGGTGACAGCATAAGCCATGCTGTCAATTGCTAACCCCTTTTCGGCCTCTATTATCTCTCTTCTGAGTCCTTGCTGAATGGTATTCTCCACTTGCTGTTGGAAAGGTGATTAATTTTCCCCTGATTTTGCTGCCCCCACCCCCCAATGTGCTAACAGCCAGCAGGGAAAGCATCCACCAGACAGAAGGAATGGGAAGGTCTAACTTCAAGATTTCCCCTGGTTTCTCCAGGCTGCTTGGTCTTCCACACCCCATCTGGGCATCTCCCTAGTTAAAATAAATGTGAAGTGAAGAAACATATGAGATGATACCATAGCCTGCCATGATTGTGCAACTAGCTGTCTCCTGTAAAATAAGAGAAATGAACTTTCTAGCTGCTGGACAACCATCTCTCATAGCCTGTAGAGAGGCTGGTATTAAAAACAGAATGGGATGAAAATGACAGGCAAGAAAGGAACTGGGGAAACAACACTAAAGAAGAATCAAAAGCCAGGAAAGAGGTGGTGGAAAAGAGTAGTTAGTGACCAGAGGACAGGGGTGTGCTTACATGTCCCAATACTCCCAAAGAGACCATGTTCATTACTGGTCACCTGATTTTGCCTCCAAAGCAACAGGTGGCAAAGTATAACAGATTTTATACATCTTTTTACATATCTGTACACACTATTGTTAGAGTTGGAATAAAGGGGAAAATACTGCTTTGATACCGGTACAGCTAATGATGACTTAAGTGTGTCTCATTTATGGGCTGAGGACAAGATACGGGCAATTTTATAGAGGCTGGGGAGAGAGTGGGATTCAGGTTACCAGGCCATCTTTGTGCCCTGATTAAGTGCACATTGGGGTTGGTTCTTAAGTTGAAATTGATTCTGAGGTTATGCAGAAAGAGTTTCTGATTAGAGAAACAGTTCAGCAGGGTTTGAATTGCTTTTGAAAGACTGTACTGCATGTTAAAATGAATTCATGACAGCTGTGGTAAAAATATATAAAAAATGAAATGTGTGAAAGGGGTATGATTTTCCCCCTGACTCATCTGCTTCACAATAGTCAATTTTTAGAAATTTATTCTGCCAGTCTGAACATCCCTCAGCAGTGGCTTAGTTCTCAACTTTATATAATTGACAAATATCCATAATTTCCATAACTTTAAAGTTATTTCATGAAGCCAAACAATGATGCAATGTACACCATCCTTTATCTTTCATGGAAGGGAATGTAATTGCACCCAGATGGAACAATCTGGTTGTGTAAAGGAAGTGCCTTCCCAGAATCAGATTTAAAATCAACAGGGAACAAGTAACACCTCTTGAAATGCCAGCCCACTTTTTCCAGGCAGACCTAAAACCATCCCACTCAATTTCAAGAAATGTAACTAAGCCTGCCCTCACCCTGCCCCCCGCTCCCCAACCCCCAATGTGGCTTTCTTTGCTTAAAAGCAAAACTCTGACTTCCTCTTCTGTACTCTCCTTCATTACCACTGCTGTCAAACACTGGCATTCGCAGCCAAAACTTTTGTCGCTCCAGCAGCATTGCATCACCTTGGGCTTTTGTCCAAGTTGCTTTCTGGAGAAGTTGAGGCAAGGCCTCAATTCACCATGTTCTCATCCACAGCCCCGTCTTCCCTGGAGAGGTCTTGCTCTGCAGCCGTGGCCTCCCACATCAGTTTTTCCACAACGTAATTTGAAAAAGTAAAATCTGTCTCTGAAACAACATTGAAGCCGGATCCAGGAGCCAAGAGCAGACATCTGCGCTTGTGTTTAATGAGGCAGTTCCTCCAGTCCAGCCTGAGGCAGAGGTGGGAAAAACCTTACTTCCTCCATTAATCATGCTTGTAGTGGGTCAGTGGCACTAAGCAAGAGCAAAGTCATAACCCTTTCCCAGCTTCTAAGTGAGGGTACAAACTTTTCCTGTTGCCTATTTTAATTTCAAACAGAACATGCACTTTAAAAAAATTAGTAAACTTCCCCAAGAGTTTTTATTGTGTGTCCTCTTGATGTGTAAGGAACTGCGGAGAACAGAAGAATGGACAAGTGGTTGCATTACAGGGCTGACCTGTAATTTAATACCTGAATAAGAAAATCCTATTGATAAGCTTCTCCTGTAATTAATATAGGCTGCAATCCAGCATGAAGCAGTCACAAGCCAGCTAATATTAGTGGAATGTTAGTGGAAGCTCTGTATGGACTACCCTGTATGGGGTTCTGGCACTTGGTATATTTTAGGCTACTTAAAGAGCCACTGTGTTGTTCTTAATGGCATGGCGGCATCTTTTATGACTTGATGAATCAGAGTGGACCAATTGTTTCAGTGTGGACCAAGGCTTCAGGTCTAGTGGATATCAACTTTCCTTTTTCCAGGCATGACCTTTTGTGGGGGGAAAGAGAAAAAAAGGTTCTCCAGCAGAGGCATCAAAGGCATTTTTACTTGCATCTGTGTAAACTGAAGGGCATTGTTTCATGTGAAAATGGTAGGACTTGCTTCATCACCTGGCTTTTGGGGAAAGCCCAGTGTCTGGACCTAAGAATAGCCTTTGATGTCTTTTTTCCACCCCCTGTTCCAGAAGTGCCGGATGACTAGGCGTAGCTGCCATTTAATCAGGCCACCGTAGGAATTTAAAGTGGTAGCAAGGCACAACGCTGACCGTACCATTAGACAGAGTGGTATCTGCAGCAGTCAGCAGATGTTGGATGTCATGAAAGAGCAGCTAATTGGTAATTATCATTACTGCCTTTTAACTGGCAGGGGAACTGCTGTGGGATTAGGTCTCAGGGCCCAAAATAACTGCCTTGGGTATTATGCCTGGCAGGGAGGGAAGACACTGTTTCAAATCACGCCACAAATGTTTGGGGATAGTCCTGGATACAAGAGCTCGTTTAGTGTAGTGATTAAGGCACCAGACTAGAAATGGGGAGACTGGGAGTTCTAGCCCTGGAGGAAGCCAGCTGGGTGACCTTGGGCCAGTCACTCTCTCTCAGCCCTAGCAAGCAGGCCACAGCAAACCACTTCCAAAATCTTGCCAAGAAAACTGCAGGGACTTCTCCAGGCAATCGCCAGGAATCAACACTGACTCAAAGGCACATACTGTACACAAACAGTCCTGAGTCTAACATTCTGCCATCTTCCTACCATTAGGAAAGGCCACCATATCCCACTGATTGCAGATGGGGCCCGCTGGGCCCCAAGTCTAGCCAAACCAGGAGCTGGTCCTGGCATATGCTCTTTCTGGTCAATCCTTTGGATACACAGGACTGAATTGCTCGATTTAATGTGATTTTACACAGAGGTGGCTTAGCAGGGGCTGGTTCCTATAGCTGGTACCCCTCCTTTCTCTGTTGTGGTTTGTGAGCCTGGACTGATTAGGACTCAGATCTGCTCCGTCCTTTCCAGCTGTTGCAGGCAGAGCTTGGGGCTTCACTTCTCCCGTTTCCGAATAGGGAAGGGACTCGCGTGGGTATCCGCGCGATGCTCCGCTTCTTTGACACCTCGGTCTAACCTGCACTCAGCGGAACGGAAGAGGCGCGTGAATTGGAGATGCGCCAGTTGCTCGACCGGAGACGATACTGGTCTCTCCGGAGCGGAAAAGAAGCCACCGCTTTAGCTTTTCTTGCAAGGAAACGGGGAGAAGTTAAGCTCTCGCCTCCCCAGCCCCGCAGACCAGAGATATCGGGAAACCCACGACAGAGGAAAAAGCCAGCATTCATGCGGTCTTTTCTGCCCACGATCCACCACACCCTCTATCTCCAGTAAGCGATCAAACTAATCTGTTTTGCGTCAGGGCCTTTTAAAAGCACGTATCTACAAAAATCGATATTCTGCCAACACCTGATCTAGAACTAATCTTCCAGCACGTCCCCTGCCAAAAGAATCGGACAGACTAGATTCGAAGCAGCGGGACAGATTCGCGTCTTTCTGTCCCTGTTTTCTTCACGGGTCGAACCGCGGACAGGAGAAAGAAACCCGAAGCCCAAGCGCCGAGTTTGCGTGTGAGGGCGCGCGCGCGTTCCGTTTCAGACCACAATCTTCGCCCTGCCTCCCAAACGCTCAGGAAGAGTGCAAAAGAAAAAGGAAGAAGCGTCAAAGGCACAGATGCGGCGCAACGCCGCCCGACGAACAAGCCTGCCCTTTCGGCCTGAAACGAAGAACCCCGTCTGATTTGCTCGACAGCTCCTCTCCCCCATCCCGCGCTTGTGGCTAGCAAGCGGCGGCGGCGGCGGCGGCGGCCGGCTGAGCCCTCCCCTCGCCTCTGCCTGGGCGAAGAATGCCGGAGGCGCCTGTGGCCGCCCTGCGCGGCGCTTGAAGGCAGCGCCTTGTGCTGTCGACGCCCAGCTCGACCATGGTGGCTCCCTCTTCCTGACGCCTAGTGGCTTAGCGAAGGACGGAGGCTCTGCGCCGTCCCCTCGCAGCGGGGTGGTATGCGCGGGCAGCGGCGGGATGGCCTCGGCTGTGTTTGAGGGCACCTCGCTGGTGAACATGTACGTGCGGGGCTGCTGGGTCAACGGCATCCGGAGGCTGATCATCAACCGACGCGGGGACGAGGAGGAGTTCTTCGAGATCCGCACCGAGTGGTCGGACCGGAACGTCCTTTACTTGCACCGCAGCTACTCGGACCTGGGCCGCCTCTTCAAGCGCCTGCTGGACTCCTTCCCGGAGGATCGCCCTGAGCTGTCACAGTCCCCCTTGCTGCAAGGTTTGCTGGCCGCCTCTCCTTCGGACTTTCTCCCCCACCCTCTGCCCACTTGGCGAATCGCCGCTAAGTCGAGAGGAAGTTCCCTGAAAATGAGCGGCGCTTACTTCCCGCCACAGTTGTAGGGTCGGGGTGCGGGGCGGAAGCCTTTTCGCCTCCTTTTAAGCCTGTTTGCTGCCGAAGCCTAATTAGAGCCGACGTTTTCTCGGAATTCTTCCCTGTAGTAGCGGAAGGCGACCAAGATAAGGCCCAGCGTCCCTAAGAAGGTTTCTAACAGCAGGACACAGACTCAGGAGTCGGTCCTGGTCTCAGTCAGTCCCTGGCAAGGATAATCAGTAGAGTGCCTCTGGGCATCCCAAAAATGCTCCCCCCCCCACCTTCCTGAGGGCTTGACCACAGAAATGGGAACATGAAATAGAGATGCAGTTTCTGAGCATGATGAGAATGCCCTTGACAGTAATTCAAGTCAGCCTCAGTGGGAACCAGGAGCGAGGTAGGATCTTCAGGACAGAGATCTGGTTTCCAGGCATGTTTGATGCTTGGGATAATTACCCAGCTGCTAATAACCAAGAGCGAGGATGGGAATGAATGGGGCCAGTTCCACAGACAGAATGTCCCGCTTTTCTCCTTAGCCACGCAGGAGGGCTATCGGAATCGAGGGGCAGAGAGCCACGTGGCTCCCCGGCTCCACCCTAGATGGCCTTGAGTTCAGCTTTTGAGACAGAGAAGTCCTGTGTGGGTCTCTGTCTCTGAGTGTAGGCTTCTGTGGGTGTTGAAAAATGGTTGGCCTGTTACACTGCCCCTTTAATTCTGAGGATTATTTAAGTACATTCCTAAAGTGAAACTCGACTGTAATTGCGGTTGCCGCTGAATGGGGAGTTGTGATGCAGTAAGTGCATTTATTGGGATCTTCTGGCTTTTGGGGCACTTTGGCATGGGTTTCATACTTTCTGATGGCACCCTAACCCTCAACCATTCTCTCAAAACTGGTAGGGACAGTGATAACAGGCAAATAGCAAAGAAGTAACGTCATAGCACATTTTGTTTTACAGATACCAGTTAGTGATTGTTCACACAAGTGAGCCCGGTTTGGCCTTTGGACTCTCAGCAATCACTTGTGTCTGTGTGTAGCTGATGTGAGTGTTGGACATCCCGATTCATCAAATATTTACCGGCCCAAATGGGTAAACAGTTATTGCAGCAGGATAAGTGAGGCAAACTATGAGACTCGGATAAAGTGACTTTGTCCAGGGATCCGTGATAGCAAAGAGGAAGGGTAGATTATCGTTTTGTCCCTTCCAGCCCTATTCTGCTTCTTCAGATTTCTAACTTACTATAAAGGCTCAAATCAGCTGTTAAGTGGCCAGAAATATCCATTAAAATAGATGCTTTAAAATAGTAAAAATCATAAGAAACATGCCATCGCCAGCCTTTTCCCTGCTGTTTCAAGATTATAAATATTGCAGGGACTTGGACTTACCTAGATCTTCAAGGGACTCTTGTAATTATAGTGCAGCTCTCAGAAATGTCCCTTCATTCATTATATGAAACAAAAGTTGCAACAAAAATGACTCAGGTGGAATGACAGTCAGTGGAAATGTTAGGGCAGATCCCCAGAACCAACTTATCCTTGTCATAAATTGATTCTCTGTATCAGTATCAAATGATCTTCCAGATAATGATCAAAGATAATCCCAGAAAAACACTTGCCAGAAGGGGTAATTAAACTACAGTTTTGTATTCCCAACTCTGTAATTCAGGTGTAATTACCATGTTGGCAAGTTTATGGATCCATCCAGTTCTCCAACATATATGCAGCTGTTTCAAGTAACGTATTGGACTCTCACAGGCAGATTTCATTTGATATGTAAAATATGCTCTTACAAATGGCTTCCAACTCCCAGTTACTTGGTAGCATTTGTAAGAGTCAAATATTTAAATGCAAAGATGCATTGAAAACTCCTTGAAAATGTAAGCACCCTATATTGTATTTTTTATGCCCATTAGCCTAATACCTCCCTCAGTTGGATCATATTCCCAGCCTGAGTTGTATCAGATAACTGTATTTATTTTATTTATTTTTGGGTTGATTTTAACTGAAGGAAAAGAAAGATATTAAAGAAAAAAGGCAGGCTAGGATCAAGGATTTTAAGGTTTTTAAAATATATAGCTTATTTTTAATAATGAAATACAGAGAACTGCAGCACGCAAGAAGAGAAAAATGATAATGGTTATACAGTGAAGAAAAAAAACCCTAGATGTAGATGTATATGGTGATTAAACTTAACTAAATGTGACAAAAAGAAGAAAAAAGCCTAACTGATCAAAAAAAGAAAAGATCCATTGTCATTGATATGAAATTAATATAGTCCTTAAGCTTATAATTAAATGTAGACCCCTTTCTGCAATGTTAGGAAGCCTTCTGCCCACTCCACTGTGTTTTATTGTTGTTGTTGTTTTTAAAGAAGAATGAAATGCTACGCTGTGAAAGGCCTCGGTTATTCCTTGTGTGACTTTGCATGGGGCCATGTATAAGATGGGAAGAGGATGGCCATAAGAACAAGCAGTGCAGTCAGGTCACGTCAAAACACTTGGCAGGCAGTTTTGTTGTTAATTCTGTGGTCCTACTTTGGCTCTGATTGCTGGGAAACTGAATGGGGTACTCAGCCTCTATGTACACAGGCTGTACATAGTTGCTGCTGAAACCGCTGAATGCAGGGAGAAAAATTTGGATGGCAAGTGTAAAACTGTGGACCAATCTCCTGGATGGGGAGTTCAAAGTCAAAGCTGAGAGCCTCAGAGCGACTTCTCTGCTGTGGGATACCATCTTTAGGGAAATTTGAGTCTTTGTGGTAAGGCTGTAAATGCCTCATAAGCCTCATAAGGAGTAAAGTATCCTGACAACACTGATTTGAGGCCGATATAGATAGTTCAAGCAATATTTTTCAGGGCACTGCGTAAAGCATTTGTGAGGTGACTGTATTCATACTTTTTTCTTTTTTTTTCTTTTTCTTTTTCTGGTTGGAGCAGAAGTAGCCTTGGGTTTGGCAGTCTGAATAGTAGCCCAAATAATAGCTTACTGAATGTTGCAAAGCATTTTGAGTTGACAACTATATGATGATCAGAAGATGTAACTCAGAGTAGTACCACATCTTTCCTAGTTAATTGATTATTAAAGTTAGGGATTAAATTAGTCAAGGAGCAGAGTTCACACACTGTACATAGATGGAGCTTCCTTTGGTCAGTAGAATCGGAAATCACCAGTTGACCACACTACATTTGAATGGTGTCACTGTTGAGCTTGTTACCTCTGGTAACAATTTAGACGTTGGCCCTGCCTCATAGTTCCTCTAATCCAGTGTTGTTCCCAAAAATCCCCCCCCTTTAATATTGGGATGCTTCATACCCACAACATCACCAACCCCCGCTCCCC